AATATGATATAACAAAGACCAACTTTTCCCTTCTCCCTTTCTCTATTTAGCTCATCAACCAAACAGAAAAATACTAAGAAAACAAAAATAGAAAGCTTGGATAAAAAGAAAAAAATAATAATAAGTAAGAATAAAAGATCTTGAGAGAGAGAGAGAAAATAAACAGTACCTAATATCAACACCACCTTTAACCAGGTATCTGGAAACATTCTGGCGAACCCACAAATCAGCAGCAACAGTTGAGGAACTGAGTGGAGCCAACATTTCATTGGGGATTCCAATCATGACCTCAATCCCACTCCCCACCAGAGCTTCAAGAACAGTTGGGTCGGCATCAAAGATCTTAACTTTTTGTATCTTGTTCTGCTTCAAGAGATCCAGCACTGTTGAAGGATTCAGCTTGAGAAACGACACCGTTCCCCAGTTCACTCCAATGGCTGATTCTGATACTTGAACAGAGACCAAGACAAGAAGAATCATAAGACAAAAGAATGGTGCTTTGAATCCAAAGAATGCCGCCATTATTGTCGGCCCGACAATGAGAGTGTTAGTGGGTTTCTTCCTCGATTACCATTTGAATGTGGGGAATGGAGAGAGAGAGAGAGAGAGACGGTGAAAGAAGTGTGTGGAGGAAATGTGAAAATGGTGGTGAAGAAGAAGATACTCCAACTGCAGTGTGTATGTAAATGTGTATATACACATAACCGCTTAAAAAGAGTAAAGTGGAATATAAAATTAATTAATATTTAAATAATTAATAATTAAAACTGAAATCTTTGTTTATTTCAACTCTGTGAAATGACAAAAATACCCTCCTCAAATTCGGATTACTTAAATAAATATTTGGAATATCCTTCCTTCTAGATTAACACTTATATGTATATATATATATATATATATATATTTTTTTTTTTATATATTTAATTAATAAAAATATACTTTTTTAATTAAAAAAAGAAAAATAGATGGTGGGGTTCATTTGAGATGTAAAGAAAAAGAGAAAAGAAAAATCAACCACTTAATATGATTTATCAAATCCCACATTATTTTATAAATAAAAAATTAAAAAATAATAAAGAAAAAGAAAAATATTAACCAAATTTTTGGGAAATTCAATTATTTGAGATGACACCACATGGGCATTTAATATATTATGACATTATTTATTTATTTTAAATGTATAATTTTATTTTATTTTTTAACAGAAAAAATTAAAATAATTAAAATATATTTAAATATTTAAAAATAATAATTCAAAGAATAATTTTAATTAATTAATTAAAATGAAGGATTTCTCAAAAAATTGAGGATTAGTAATCCGTTTAAGAAATCGAACCGAATCAAATTTATACATACACGAGGAAAATAATAAAAAAAATGATGATAAATTTTTTTTTTATTTTTATCTCTTATGAATTTTTTGTTTTTAATTATCGAGGATCTTATTTCTATATTTATGCAAGATATATTTACAAAATTCTAATATATTAACGAGGTGACTCATCGAAATATTTGTACAAATAAATATAATTTATGTAATTAAAAAAAATTATCAAAATGAAAGAATTAACGATAATAATTATAAGTACACGAAAAAATCTTTTTTTTATAATTTTTATAATATAATCAGAATTTATCGGCATAAAGAATTAATTTAAATAATTCTTTGTGACTTCAGTGTTAATCAAATCAACGCGTTATAATAATAATATATAATTAATTAAATAAAATATTATTTTTTAATTTTTTTAATATATTTAATTTTTTTAATTTAAAAAAATAAAAAAAAACTATATGGTAAATTTTATAAATTAATTTACTAATTTGGTAATTTAGTGACTAGTAGATTTACAAGCACTTGATTCTATTCTATATGGAGTGAGGATGAGTCTTGGTTCTGTTTTTGGAAGTTGACAAGGCATCTTTAGTATTTGCTTTTGGGATTTTGGAGGAAGTGTGTGGTCAAAAATTGACATGTCACTTTTCAAAAATTCTACCAAACACAAATTTTTAATTCAAAGAAATTACTATAATATTAAATTTATGATAATATCTTTTTCTTATGTAGTGATTAGTGTGATTTCGAGAAAAACGGGCAAACCCTAATTTTAATATTATCATCCAGAGATTCCAATACTTAGTTCCATAAAGATAAGATAAGAAAGAATTCAAAAAATTTAATTACAAACATATTATAGAAAATTTTCGAATGTTACAGTATTTATCTTATGTTAAAATTTTTTAACTTCTTGTAAAAAGTAAGATATTGTTTCGAATAGTTTACTATAATAAAAAAATTATAGTGGTTTATGAGTTTAGTGACAAACGACATAAGTAAACTAATTTTTAATTAATTAAATTCATACAGGATCACGTTTATTGAGATTAAAAATAAAATTTAACATTCGAAAATAGTAGTGTCCATATATAAAGAGTTGGTTGTGTTCGATGAACAGAAAGATTTATAATTTGCGATCATGATTGATAAAAGTTTTGATATGAGATTCAAAAGTGGTTGCAAGCTCTTTTGAATAATTTTTCTTTTTCTTTAGATAGTAAAAGAAGATGATAACAAATTGCATATAACAACTTATGTTGTATGTTAACAGTAGTGTTTATATAAAAAGAGATTGTTGTGTTCGATGAATAGAAAGATTTATAATTTGTGATTATGATTAACGAAAATTTTGATACGAGATTCAAAGGTGGTTACAATTTCTTTTGAATATATCTTTTTTTTTTAGATAGCAAAAGGCTCTGATAACAAATTGCATATGGCAACTTATGTTATATGATAACAGTAATGTCTATATAAAAGAGCTTGTTGTGTTCGATGAATAGAAAGATTTATAATTTACGATTTTGATTGACGAAAGTTTTGATACGAGATTCAAAGGTGGTTGCAAGCTCTTTTGAATAATTTTCTTTTTCTTTAGATAACAAAATGAGAGGATAACAAATTGTATATGACAACTTATGTTGTATGATAACAATAGTATTTATATAAAAAAGAGTTTGTTGTGTTCGATGAACAGAAAGATTTATAATTTGCGATTATGATTAACAAAAGTTTTGATACGAGATTTAAAGGTGGTTACAAGCTCTTTTGAATAGTTTTCCTTTTCTTTAGATAGCAAAAGGAAAAGATAAGAAATTGCATATTAACTTATTAAGCATGCTAATGTTGTATGATAATTATCCAAGTTATTTAATTATTACAAAGTATTAAAAGTAATTAACAAGCACAAAATTATTAATACTTACTTATATATATATATATATATATATATATATGGGGAAAAAAAAAAAACTTTTACAAACAAGGCAATCAAGATTAGAGATTCCTCCATGGGAAAAGTCACAACCTTTGGCAAGCAGCATCTGGTTAGAGACCTAAAAATTGGAAAGCATGTGCATATTGCACATTTCTAGTCTTTTCTTTGCAAAAGAGAAAGAAAACCTCATCAGCCAAAATATATTTATTCCCATTACTGCACCAGAGATCATCTTCTTGTTCTTCCTTTTACCTAAAGAAACTTTTTTTTTTTCTTTCCTTTCTCTCCTTTTCTCTCCCCCACTTTTTTTGGGTAATCACTTTAATGAATCTTAGTTGGAGATAATGATAAAAGAAGATTTCATTTGATGCCAAGTCAGTCCAGGGAATGATGCCTTATCTTACTCCTACATACATGTTTTTTGTGGTCTCACCATGTCATAAATATAGTGTGAAATTAGAGAAAGACCACCAACTCCTTGTTAAAATTTCTTAAACTTAGTCGTTCTTGAATAATTCATCACTTAAACGAGTATATTATAGAATACTAATGACCATCTCGTAATATTTGATTCGGCATCAACTACGTTGATGTTATGTAATTAAAATCGGTTTCTTACTAGTAAATCATTTCGTATCACTAAATTTTCTTACTTAATTACCTGCAACATGCCAAAAAATAAAAGGAAAAAAAAACTATATCTACCCTTTTTTTTCCCTTTTAAGAACAAAAGGAACTATATATATATATATATATATATATATATATATATAGTGTCTGTGTGTGTGTGTGTGAAATCAATGAACCTATCCACAATAGTCCCACTGTCCATCTAATTAATCATTATTTTCCCAAAAGTAAAAAGATGAGAATGATATCATTAAATTCAATTAACAAAGCTAAACAACCTTCTTTAGCTTATTTTGGCTATCATTACAGACTTCATTCATAATCCACCAGTTTCATTCAGCACCTCCTATAAGACTCCCAAACAAATTTCAAATTCAGACTCTCAGTCTTGTTCTCAACTTGATAGAATCTTTTGTTATTTTTTATTGTGAGATTACTGGCATTCATGCTACATAAATTTCAATTAAACAAGTAACAGTTGAAGAAACTAGTGGCAAGAGAACCACCATATAATATATAACTTGTGGGTAAATCTATATGTTCTTCCAGCTTTGGAGCTCATTACAGCCCACAAGACAAGCCAGGGATTATATATGATACAACCCAAAAATGGGCACTAAGAAAACAAGGAAAACCTCCGTGAATCCTTTCATGATTTTATCAGCTATCACCAAAATCAGGCTGGTTAGTGACAGATCTCACCCACGCCCATTTATGATCCCTTGTATTAACTTCATTTTTAGCCTCTGCAACTTCCTCTACTGGAATATATCCATAGTTTCCATTAATAGGACCAGACACAAATCCAGTATATCCAGCCATAACTCCATGAATTGAAGAGTGTGCCACGAGCGTACAGTATAAACTATCTGTAGAATTTGCAGGCACTGCACGGATCATATACGTTGGATCTATATACTTTACTGTAAATAACTCACCTGGATGTTCTCTAGCCCACCATGTCTTAAGCTCTGACTTCAACCAAGCACCAACGTCTAAAAACACAGGGTTCCCTGATTCATCCCTTTCTTCCTTCTGTGCTTCAGTTCTAGGAATCATGTCTTGTCCTGCACCCTCTGCAACGACTAATACGGCATGTCCGTTGAGTTTCAGTCGCTGTTCGAGAAACTCAAAGAGCCCTCCTTTTCCTTCTAGGTAGAATTTATTTTCAGGGATTAAGCAGCAATCAACATCACGGTTGCTTAATGTTGCATAAAGAGCTATGTGGCCGGTGCTTCGACCCATTAGCTTTACCAGGCCGATTCCATTGACTGCACTTTCTGCTTCCACATGAGCTGCATTGATTGCTTGCTGTGCCATTTCTACCGCAGTTTGAAACCCAAATGATCTATCGATGATCCCCACATCGTTATCTACGGTTTTGGGAATTCCAGCAACTCCAATGTTGAGTTTTCTGCGGCGAATTTCTTCGAATATCTTGACTGCACCTCGCATTGTTCCATCCCCGCCTATGATGTAAACCTGTTTGAGCACACGAAGAAAATGTCAAACAAACCCAATTAGAGACCTTTATCCAATTAACAGCACGAATATGATTGACGCCCACCTCCATTTAATGAAGAAATTAAATTAGATTAAAACTTTCTCCCATTTGGGGGATTTTTCTCCCACTTGGGGGAAAAACTCTGAAATTTTCTTATTTTTTCATTGTTCTTTTCCGCTAAATTTTTCACCCATTCTTTTTGAAGAATAATTTCCTTCTTTTTTTGTAAAACTTAATATTTTTACTACTTCCATCGATTTATAAAATTTTTCAAACACCCGAAAATTATTAGATTTACAATTATCCGAATTACCTCAACTTTTAAAAAATTGTATCCGAATTATCATCGCCTACATTAATTTCAGATATTCCACAAGTTTAAATATCCAATTTATCTTAAATAAATTTTTTAAATCGAATTAAACAAAAAATTCAATCGAGCTGATTAGAATTTTTCCGGTCATTACGATTCTCCGGAGGGACAAATTCTCCTTTCTCTTCCGAAGGGTATTTTCTCTCATCCGAGGGATAATTTTCCCTTTTTAGCTCTCCCAAAGACTTTCTTGTTTGTAGAGGAGAAAAAAAAAGGTAATATTGTACAGAAGTTAAGATTGTATTGAAGAAGATGATCAAGACTAACCTGATTATAACCTTGACGCTCAATTGCATCAACAATCTTGACCAGATCAAACCCTCCCCTGGAGGTTTCAAGCACAGTCCCGCCCCTCTTATGCAAGTCATGGAGAATCTTGGGATTAAGTTCGACACGGTCGGTGGAGTAAAATCCCCTGTAACCAGCTGTGATCCCGTAAATATGACGAACACCGTAGAGCTCCCAGAGTCCCACCACCAATTCTCTGATGACCGTGTTCATTCCGGGACAGAGTCCGCCGCAGGTGACAATGGCGGCTTTGACAGCGGAGGGTTCGAAGAAAACTCGCCGGCGAGGGCCAGCTCTGTGGTAGGCAAAGTGAGGAGAGGGAGAAGAGTGGGTGCCGGAGAGATCGTAGACGATTTGCCGGAGGATGACGTCAAAAGGAGTGATGTAGAAGCCGTCCGATGGCCGGAAAAAAGAGTTGGCGTCGAGAGGATTGGTGCTAGCTTCGAGACCGGGGAGGTAGTCGGTGAGGTGAGGGAGCTCGCGGATGGTTATAGAAGGGAAAGGGAAGGTACCTTCTGATGAATCTACCTGGGTGCTGCCTTCTGGATTTGCTATCGCCATATCCTGCTATTCTGAAGCTATTACCGGTACTACGCTCTAACGGCAATTCTCCGTCTCTGCTTTTTTTGACCAGCCAGCCATCGGAGAAGAAGATGAAAGTAGAGTGAAAAACGTAGAGACAGGTTCTGGTATGACGTGGGCAAGCCAGAAATGGACACGTGTTGATCTGAAAATCCAGGACTAACACGTGTAAGATAAGCAATCACCTGCTATGAAGTGTTTATAAATATTTTGGATAAAGAGATCATCTTTTTCTGAAATTTATTTTAATAAAATTGTATATTTAATTTAAGTGTGCGGTAGAAAAATTGCATTTACTTATAATTTTTGATAAAATAATTTTTAAATTTATAATTTTTTATATATAATATACTTATAATTATATTAATTATAATATAATATAAATAATATTTAAATAAAAATAATTTAATCCCACTTGAACTTACAATTTATTATAAATATATATATATATATATTAACCATAGGAGTTCGATCCATTAGTTCAAAAAATTACAACTTATTAAAACCTTTTTTTTAATAAATAAATAATTGGATCGAACGAATTATAATATTGTCAATATATAAGTTTTTGTTTTTATCTTTTAAATGAATATTTAACAATTTCATTATATTGATATATGCATATATATATATATATAATATAAGAGTTGATATATTTTCACATATAGATTATCTACTATTGGTGCTATGGCATATTTGTTGCCATAGAAGAAGATAGGACAAAAAGCTAAACCTAAAGGTATAAATTCTTTTAATTATTTCCAAATATTTATATATATTATTTATAGCCTCCTTTACAACCATGATATAATAAAGTATACTTTTTCTTATTCTTCTAAAAAAATAAAAAAAAAAGCATATGCTTAGTAAATAATTAATGTGTTGATTATTTTATTAATTAATATCAAATAATATAATTTTTTAATTAATATACAGTTTCGTAACTTATCAATTAAGATTCTAATCTGCGTTGAATTAAAACGTGTTAACGAGTAGTAATAGTTCGTGTGTCTAACTTTATTCGTCTATACGCATTTTTCGTTCTAAAGCTATTCTTTGTAAAATTACTTTTTTCTCTCAAGAGCATCATAGGAATTTTCATAAAGAAAAACCAATATCATGACAGGCATCGTTGATCATTCCTTTGCTTTAATAGTTCGAACTAAAAGTGTGGTCCTTGTAAGAAAGAAAGAAAGAAATTTACTTCAGAAATCTCTAGAAACAGTACAACCATTTCAAACCAATACACACACATTATGTATATACGTATGCATATTATATAAAATCAAACTATATATGTATTTCAAGTATTAAACTTCAATACCATCTATCAGCGTTCATCCGATTACATTAAGTATCGTTCTTCATTTCGTTAGAATTCTTGTGCATCCGGTTGAGCATTCTTGAATTTAGAGGGGCACGAATTTAAAGTGGGTGTAGGATATACTTACAAAAAAATATATATATCTAAGAAAAGGAAACCCAATATAATTACCAGCTCCTTCATGTATATATATTGCAGCAGATCTTGGAGAAATATCCAGAAATTGAGATGAGAAGAAAGTGTAAAGAATAGTTGGGGGCCTGCATGACTCCCCTCATGCCAAGTAAGAAGGTTGCCAACACTCTTTGCCAAGGCTTCTTAGATGGCATTCAGGGAGCCAGGCAGATCACTATTGCTTCTTCCTCCATCCTCCACATACAACTTCATACAAACCTGTATATAAATATAATATATATATATATATCTATATATATATATATATTTCAAAATTACCAGCCAGACTCTCATATTCCCACATGGGTATCAAAGGAAAACCATCTTGACCAATTCCCAGACCAAAGACATCAAAAATCAGAACATGAAACATCTACTCACTAATTACACATGGTTCTTACACAATCATATAAATATATATACATAGAGAGAGAGAGAGAGGGAGAGAGAGAGAGAGGGAGAGAGAAGGGGATTTATAAAAGGGAAAACATACCAATTAATCAGGAACTTCAACATGCATATTCTGAATACCGATATGGGATATGATGATTAACAGAAAGAAAGGGTGTGTTTGTGTGTCTGTCTGTATATGTGTGTGTGTGTGTGTATATATAGGGGAAGAAAAAGGGGAAAGTCCAAAGAGAAGGAGAGAGTAGAGATGGCAGGGTAAGTCGGCAACAAAGGAAAGGCCAGGTCTGTTTCTTAACATATAGTTCCATAGATAGAGCCAAAGTTGCCTGGGTTTTACAGGTAACCTTGTTTTTCTCTTATCTCTCTCTCTCTCTCTCTCTCACCCTTTCTACTGTTTCTCTCACCCTTTTAAAAATGGCTTTCTCCTGTATCTATCTCCCTGTCTTATATATACATATATATCTCCACTATGCAACAACCCCTTTAATTTCTCTACTCTAATGTTTAACCACATAAATATTTCCCATGGTCTGCAGAGGGCGCCAAAAAACCAGTGAATAAGACAAAGTCCAGCGCTGCTTTATCTTGAATAATGGTTTTAAATCAACTGGTTAAGTACACATCATTACATTGACTGTAACATTAATTTATACCAACACCCTATTAATGAAAACATTAATCACATATTATAATTAATCACTTGTTAATTCACTCTTAATTAATCATTTCTTAATTCACTTTCAGTCAGTCGTATCAATCCTACACTGATTAAAGTTAAAAACTTTTTCATATTTTGACTCAGAAAATTTCTGGGTCATCGCAAAATTTAAATGGGTTCTCAAGTTTTTATCCGAAAAGACCAAAAACGGGGAGGATGCAATGGAGAAAGCAGAAAAGGTTACGTTTTTAGCAGTTTGAATTTGGTAATTAATTAAGGGTTTGGACTACATGTGACAAAACGAAACGTAAACTGGTTTGGTGTCTGTTTTTGATAGAAGAAAACAATGTATTCAAAGCTGGCAGTAAGACCGTGTTTGGTTGGCGGGTCCATTTAACTTTTTTTCCAAATGATTATTATGAATTAAACATTCCTTAGCTTTTTATTTCTCTCTATGAAATTAATATAAAACGAGAACAGTTAAGATTCAAAGTCCAATCAAGTAACTCATGGCTTTGACCATTGAACTTAAGATTGATTGGTGGGTTCTGTTTAGATGGGCGTTGCTTCCATTGATTACTATGGTTAATGCATTCTATTAATGAACAAACAAACACAAGTACTCCACTCCACTTTCTTCTCGAGTAAATATATATATATATATATATGTATATTATAATGTAAGACACAGAATCTTTATGCGAAGCCTCATGGAGTTTTGAATAGTACTTGAACCAAGTATTCTCTGCAACTGTAATTTTTTTCATCGTGATGTAAAAAAGGACGAACATGGCACGATAGATGCAAAAGATACGACACCGTTTCTCCCTCTAAGTCCAAACGGTGTCGTTTAAGGATATCGAAATGGGCTGGGCTATGATAAATGGGCTTCGTGAACCTTTCTACTGGAACTAAAATGGGCCGGGCTGTGAATTTATAGAGCTGGGTATGGGTTGAGCGGGAAACAGAGATATGGGTTGGGCTTTTGTATATATATATATATATATTTAATATTAATGTCTTTTACATTCAAATGCCATGAGTTTGGGAGATTGATCTTAGTAAATTGATAAACTATAATTGGTTTTTTAGAATAAAAAGTTAATTTTTCATCCTGTTGATAGGAAAATTATAAAACAAAAATGGGTTTATCGTGTTAATTTTTGAGTCATCATCATCCGTAATATATATAGATGTATCTATATATATATATATGATCTATACGTTCGTATACTTTTTAAAAGATGGTGTAACATTCCTTAGAATGGCGGAATTCTTTTCCAAAACGGTATCGTTCTACTTGTAGGATACTTCTATTTCTCCTTTTAAGATTAGTACGTATAGAACTCCTTCTAACTTTTATTCGTAATTATTGGTATAAATAATAGGAGTTTATTATACACTCGGATTCAGCTAACTTGTGTGTGTGTGTGTGTGTGTGTGTGTGTATATATTCTCAGAAGAAGCTCATCAGTCTGCTAATCATAACCCTAGAAGTTTTCTTCTTCTTTTCTTTGGAATCTGGCAATGTCGCTCCCAAAGATTTCGATCGTCTTTGTAACAGTTTTCACTCTTCTCTTTTTGTTCCAAACGCCTGCTTCTGCAGTCAAACAGGTACATGTACACATATATATTAATATATACGTATATACATATACCTACTTACATATGTATATATCCGAAGTCAAACTGATTTGTTTTGTTACATGATCAAGTCTTACATAGTCTACTTGGGATCCCATACACACGGCCCTGATGTTTCCAATGCTGATCTTGATCGGGTAGCTGAAACTCATCATCAATTTCTTGCTTCATTCTTGGGAAGGTACTTCCAAATGGTTGAATTTGCTGTTTATATATATATATATATGGAATTTGTTTATGATCTTAATTAAATTATTTTTACTTAATGTATAGTTATGACAAGGCAAAAGATGCAATCTTCCGCTCATACAACAAGCATATCAATGGATTTGCAGCCAGCCTTGAAGAAGAAGAAGCTGCCGAAATTGCAAGTAATATAATTAATTCAACATGCATTAACATATATATATATATATATAGAGTTTTCTTTAGAGTAATTATATGAATAAATTGTTGCAGAGCATCCGGAAGTGATATCAGTTTTCGTGAACCATGCGAATAAATTACACACGACTCGGACATGGCAATTCATGGGGGTGGAACAACAAAATGGCGTCGTTCTCAATTCTTCCATTTGGAGTAGAGCTAGATATGGTGAAGATACCATCTTGGCCAACCTTGACACTGGTAATTAATTATAATCAATATTTTGTATGTTAACTATATATTATTGTTGATTTAAACGTGACGAATATGTGTGCATGTACATATGTATAGGTGTTTGGCCGGAACTAGAAAGCTTCAGTGATGAAGGCTATGGTCCTGTTCCATCCAGATGGAAAGGTTCATGTAAGAGTGAAACTGCTGAACATGGAGTTAAATGCAACAGGTGCTGCCCTCTACTTGACCACATATCTCTCTCTCTCTCTCTATATATATATATATATATATATATATGCATGTTATATATTTATATATTCCAATTGGGTTTATTAAGCCAATCACTATTTTGAAAGTAGAAAATGTTAGAAAATTTTAAGATATAGAATAGCTCTACATGACATTTTCTTGAAAATGGAAGAAAGAAGAATGAGAGATTAATTAAAAGATTAAGTTTTCATAACGTGGATTATAATTAACTCTAACTAATGAATCATGATCACTTATAAAAATTCAAAAGGCTCATATTGAATTTTAATTTTCAAAAATCTCATTAATTTGCAAATTTTGATTTTTAACAGAAAACTGATCGGAGCAAGATACTTCAATGATGGATACATGAAAGCCGGAGGCGAAATCACTCCCGGGAATCGCACAGCACGCGACCACAAGGGCCACGGAACTCACACCTTGACAACCGCCGCCGGCAACTTCGTCGCCGGAGCTAATATCTTCGGTGTCGGCAACGGCACCGCGAAAGGTGGTTCAGCTAGAGCTCGTGTGGCAACCTACAAGGTTTGCTGGCCAGAAACTGAAAAAGTCGGCGAGTGCTACGACTCCGATTCTCTGTCAGCTTTCGACGCTGCCATTGACGACGGTGTAGATGTGGTGTCGATGTCCGTCGGCGGTGACCCTCTTGACTATCTTGACGATGGAATTGCAGTTGGGTCTTTTCATGCTGTTAAGCATGGCATCGTTGTTGTCTGCTCCGCCGGAAATTCTGGTCCTCAACCTGCTACTGTCACTAATAATGCTCCATGGATTTTCACTGTAGCTGCTAGTACTTTTGATCGTGAGTTTCAGTCTTTTGTCACGCTCGGCAATGGTCAACAATTCAAGGTATTTTATATTCATACTCGTACATATACTGTTGATTTTGTCTGCATTTTGGTTTGAATGGTTTGATTTGTTTCGGGTCATATACACATATATATATACACACACACATACTATTAAGTTGGCTTGAACTTTGATTTGACTTGTTCGACTTTGTTCTAAGTCCTATTAAATCCACTCATGTAAATTAATCCGCTCATGACTTTGTTCATAGACAAACATTTCTGTCAAGTCGCATAAAATCTTATATTTTTTCTTCTTCTATTGTGTCTGGAATAATTTTTCTTAACATTTATATATACATAGAGTATGTTGTGATTGTGCTAAAACTAGTTCTAATTATGCAGGGAAGCAGCCTTAGCAAGCCATTGCCAGATGATAAACTCTATCAACTTATCAGTGCTGCAGAAACTAATTCTGCAAATGCGACATCTGTGGAATCGTAAGAATCTTGCAATTCATAATTAACTAATTGATAAATATATGAATTTATATTAAAAAAATCAAAAAATAAGAGAGTTCAAAAGCATTTGAATTTTTGCACGTAGGAGGGAACCCAAAACCCAACGTTAATTACATTTTGTAATTAATGGATGATGGGGATTATATATATGCAGTATTCTGTGCAAGGAAGGAACACTGAATCCTGAGAAAGTGAAAGGAAAAATTCTGGTTTGCCTGAGGGGAGATAATGCAAGAATTGACAAGGGAATACAAGCAATGGAAGCTGGTGCAGCTGGTATGATTCTCTGCAATTCCAAAGCCAACGGCAATGAAGTTATCGCCGACCCTCATCTCCTCCCCGCTTCCCACCTCGACTACTCCGATGGTCTTGCCGTCTTCTCCTACCTCAATTCTACCAAGTATCTTTCTATTCATGTTCTTCAGTGTTAGAATATAAATAATTGATTAGTAAAATTATTTAGATGATAGATTCAATTAATTCTTTAAAATTCATGTTGAATTAACATCAAAAATTTTTTTACTTTACATTTCAAATTTAATTAACATTATGTGATTTTAAATAATCGATTAGTTTATTTCTTATCGACTTAAATTATTTAGATAACAGATTCAATTAATTCTTTAATATTCATTTTGGATTAACATCAAAACTTTTGACTTTAATCAAGTTTAATTAACATTATGTGATTTTTTTACAGGGATCCAAGGGGAACTCTTGAGGGTCCATTGACAAAGCTAAACAGTAAGCCAGCACCAGTAATGGCATCATTTTCCTCTCAAGGTCCAAACCCACTCAACCCAGAAATTCTCAAGGTGATTTAATTATTTAATCACTACCCTTTGTTTATCTTGATGTTCTGTAATAATTCCTAAGGTCAAGTTTTGATTTTGCAGCCTGATATAACTGCACCCGGAGTGAATGTAATAGCTGGGTGGACAGAAGGAGTTAGCCCTACAGGTTTGCCCTCCGACAACCGCAGAACTCCTTTCTTCATCGTATCCGGTACTTCCATGTCTTGTCCTCATGTCGCCGGAGTTGTCGGTCTACTCAGAACTCTCTACCCAGATTGGAGTCCCGCCGCCATTCGATCTGCAATTATGACAACCGGTAAGCAAACCAGACCCCTCCTAGTTGTGCAAAGTTCAATCTATTTTAACAATTAACACTTGTTGAAAATAATAATTTATAAATTTTAATATGTCAAAGACTTTTGTTAAGAAGTTAATATACTTGCAAATGATGTTTATATATTACCTAATTTATTAATATATACACTTCTGGTTTTGTAATCTTATGAATTATTCTTTGATATCTCAGCATTTTCAAGAGATAACACTATGCACCCAATCGTCAATGGAACATCTGTTAAGGCAACACCCTTCAATTATGGGGCAGGACACATGAGACCTAACAAAGCAATGGATCCTGGTTTGGTCTACGACTTAACAATCAATGACTACATGGATTTCTTATGCGGCAATGGCTACAACCAAACTTCCTTAAAACTTTTCTATGGAGATGATTCTTACAAGTGTCCAGAATCCTACAATGTCCTCAACTTGAACTACCCTTCAATCACAGTCCCTAATCTGTCAGGCAAAGTCACTGTGACCCGAAAGCTCAAGAACGTGGGATCACCAGGAGTCTACTCGGCTCAAGTCTATGAGCCATACGGTGTTTCAGTGAGTGTTGAGCCCAGTACGTTGAAGTTTTCAGAGGTTGGGGAAGAGAAGAGTTACAGTTTGACAATGGAGGCTAAGTGGGTTGGCGCTGCTAAAGACTATGTGTTTGGGAGAATAGAATGGACCGACAAGAAACACATTGTGAGAAGTCCCATTGTCGTTGCTGCAGGTGTCCAGAAAAACTGAGAAATTCTACTCTGTTAAACTACTAGTAGGAGTAGACACGGAAGGGAAAAAACAGTAGTTTAGTTTATAATTTCTTCTTTTGCTTTTCTTTTTTTTTCTTTTTTTTTTTTTCTTTTGAGAGAGTAATTTTTTGAACCTGTATTGAAATAGTAATTTATTTATTCTTTGTTCTTACTCAATCTATATGATTTATTTGAAAGTTATAAGATAATTAATTACATATCAATTATCTATAATGATTATTGATCCCATAATATTTTCACTGTACTGTTTGATTAAAAACATCGGGTTAAAAAAATGTAAAATTGACTATTTTTAATTAAAAAAAAAAAGAAAAAAGATTACTTTGAGATTTTTTTTTGATTGCTAAGAATGGGAGGAGATGATAAAGGAACGATCTTTTCTTGCCATTGTTTTACTAAAAGGTTCCTGGACCAGCCTCGTTTTGTATTTACAACATATATCCCTCTCAAAAATGGAGATGATGATTTGGGAAGAGACAAGAAATGAAAAGGCAAGGCTAATAATCAACCGTCATCCTATCAACTGGAAATCAACTTACATCACATATCTCTCAGTCTAATACTATAATGTTTTTTAAACTCTTCTTCAACAAACATCCTAGTACTGGGTTCAAGAAATCACATACATTATGGCCGCCATGACCATGGCCGTGTTGCAGAATCACAACCCCACCTTTCATGTCAAACCCTTCTCTTCTCCAAAAAGAAAAGCTTCCCATTTATCCTCCTCCTTTTTGACCCCAATCCACAACCAAAGATTTTTCTCTTCCCGTTCTCTGATCTTCAATAGGAGTACTCAGAAATGGAGGAACTACTTCATGTTTCTTGCTGCGAAGCCTGTGGTAAAGGACCGTACTCTTAGTTTTCAGGGAAATGATTTGTTGACAGGCCTCCATGAAAACGTAGTGGTCACGCCATTGAAGGACACGTGTGGGTTATTCTTGGGTGCTACTTCTACAGAAAACAAATCTCGGCATGTTTTCAAGCTTGGTGTCATTCAGTAAGTTTGTCTTCTTTGTGTTTGATGTTTTGTTTCAGTGGTCTCCAGTCGTTTGATTCAGCTTCTAGCGGTGCGCTTGACTGTTCTTGCATGCTTTCCATCATTCTGTATCTTCTTTTTCTCACAGACTCTTGTAATGTTAATCATGAAGGATTGATGAATGCTGTTCATTTGCTCAATGCAGGGATCTCAGATTGTTATGTCTTTTTAGATTTAAGCTATGGTGGATGATACCTCGAGTTGGGACTTCAGGGAGCGATGTCCCTGTCGAGACTCAGATGTTGCTTGTGGAAGTAAGACCAGAAGGATCAAGTGTTGATGCTTCTGGTGATTCTGGTTCTTACGTCCTTTTCTTGCCAGTGCTAGATGGTGAATTTAGGAGCAGCTTGCAGGGGAACTCTGCCAATGAACTTGAGTTTTGTGTTGAAAGTGGTGAGCTTTCTCATACTTGGCCTATTTATATATATAAGGACAAGTAGATATAGTAAGTATCAAATTCATCAATAGCCTAATTCTGTTCTTCATTTTGCTATTTGGAGGTACTAGTATCTCACCATATTTTATTATATATCATTAGTATTTTACTATTGTTCTTTATCGTTTGAAGTATCATCTGTTACCCTTTTAATTATTATTTGTTAACATCAACTTTGACATTGTACTAACCAATATGATAGAAAATCGTAGTCGAAAAGATAACAAACAATAGTTTAAGTAAGAACTAAATATAGTTAGTTGATAACTATAAATAACGTAAAATTATGAAGGATGGGGCTGTAGGAACGGGGAAAGCAAAAACCGATTTGTACTGACTGAAGAAATCTGTTAGAAGAAACAAATTAAAGAATTTATTGGGTTATCCTTAGCCTATTTATACAAGAAGATAAATTTCCTGAAGTATGCTGGTTTAGGTCAAGGAGGCTTATGTTCGGTGGGGACTAAAATGGTGAGTAAAGGTACTAAAGAACATTTTGCTTCTTTAAAGGGAAGAATAATCTAAAAATAGTTGAAGGGAATTGTTAGAACGGGCCCCTCCTTTTTTCCTATTTACCAAAGATATTGTCATTTGCTTTCTTACAAATTTAGTATGGTGACATGGGCTTCCTTTTTTTTTTATAGGTGACCCTGCAATAGTCACCTCAAAGTCCCTCAAAGCAGTTTTTGTGAATTATGGAGACAATCCATTTGATTTGGTGAATGAATCTATGAAGTAGGTCAGCTTTCTTAACAAGTTTTCAGTTTCAAGTTTAAGTTTAGAAATCAAACCATCACATCCATCAGGACAAATTGGATAAATCTTGTATGATCTTCACTACAAGTTAGCTACTCGTGATTTGAATTTTGTTGATATCCGGGCTCTAATGGCTTTTGTTGACATTTTTCTTCCATGAATTTTGGGTCATCTGCAGGATTATAGAGAAGCAGAGCTCAACATTTGCACTTAGGGAATCCAAACAGGCAAGTAACCTACTGTTTACATCCAGCTCATGAAATTATGTTACCGGAAAACCTTTTTCTAGCAAGTTGATGTCCTTCTTACTTTCTGATGCAGATGCCTGGAATGTTAGATTGGTTTGGTTGGTGCACTTGGGATGCTTTTTACCAAGACGTTAATGCACAAGGAATCAAAGATGGTCTAAAGAGGTCAATCTAGATCTACATGCTTCTGAAAAATTATAGGAATATCTTCCATCTCACTTACTAACTGGAAATCAGCTTCATTTGTGCCTCTTTCTCTTCTTCATCCTTTAGTTCTTTTTGAGGCACTGCGGCAGGCTTCTTGAGTAAACCTCCATGTCTCCCTTTCAGTTTATTTCAGGGAGGTACCCCAGCAAGGTTTTTGATAATAGATGATGGGTGGCAAGATACAACTAATGAGTTCCAAAAGGAAGGAGAAGAATTTGTAGATGGAACACAGTAAGTTCATCAGTTCATAAGTGTTCCTGGTTAAGCACATATGCAACTTTTGATTGCCTCCATGTTGCAGGTTTGGCGGCAGATTAGTAAGCCTTGAAGAAAACAGCAAGTTTCGGAGAGGAAATGAAGACAAAAGTGATGCACCTACTTGTCTTAAGTCTTTTGTTTCAGATATTAAGAGCTCTTTTGGCCTTAAGTAAGCTTTCCAACATAAACCCTTGAAACTATTCATTTTTCTATGAATATCTGAAAGAATCCATATTAGATTATGACATGCAAACATCAGGAGATCTCATCTCTTTTCCTTTTTAACTTCTCTGAAATTCTTAGATATGTATATGTATGGCATGCCCTATTAGGGTACTGGGGAGGCCTTGTCCCGGACGCAGAAGGAACTAAAAAGTATAGTCCACAGTTGAGATACCCTGTACAGTCACCAGGGAATTTGGCGAACAAGAGGGATCTAGCAATGGACAGTATGGAGAAGTATGGCATAGGTACACTTGATCCAGCAACAGTAACCCAATTTTATGATCATCTCCACAAGTATCTTGTTTCACAGGGTGTGGATGGGGTTAAAGTTGATGTTCAGAACATCCTTGAAACTATCGCAGCTGGTTTAGGAGGCCGGGTATCACTTACTAGACAGTTCCAACAAGCTCTTGAAAGCTCCATTGCTGCCAACTTTGAAGACAACAGCATAATCTGCTGCATGGGTCAGAGCACAGACACCATTTACAAGTAAGTTACTTTGACACACCTTTTAACATCTTTCCAAGTCTTTTCTCTCGAAGAGCAGATTGCATAGCAGACAATTCTTTTAGCATGACATGTTTGATCTTCATAAATCAAGCAATGTGTCAATGAGGACAGAGATCATGAAATCGGGTGATAAGTCCACTTTAAGGTCCAGTTTGATTCATTCTCTGTACAATTTCCTAATTAATTCATGTTAGCCTTAATATAAATTATTAGAGCATAGTTCGCTGTGTTTAAGTTATCATCATTACCCTCATCTTGAATTTCTCAATGGTTGGAATTCAATTCCTAATTTTAGCTGGAGACAGATTTCCATCAGTAAGAGTTTCCAAATTCAGCAATAATGTCTCCTATTGTTGATTCATTGAACGATTTGAGCAATTCCATGGGTCAAATCTTGACTAAATATATATCTCGAGATCTCCATCATTTCGTGTAGAACATGAGTGACATGGGTAGAATTTTCATTTGAACACAGTTTAGAGCATGATACTTTCATTATTTATTGCTGCAGTTCAAAAAGAAGTGCGATTACACGAGCATCCGATGATTACTACCCAAAAAATCCAACAACACAGACATTGCATATAGCTGCTGTCTCTTTCAACAGCATATTTCTTGGTGAAGTCTTTGTCCCAGATTGGGACATGTTCTACGTACGTTACTTATTATAGCAGTATCATAGTTGGTCTGTTGAGTTGCTAGTTCTACATAAAGTAATTAACCTCTTATTACAATCTTCAGAGCCTCCATGATGCAGCAGAGTTTCATGCTGTTGCTAGAGCTGTAGGAGGTTGTGGAGTTTATGTTAGGTACACATTCTGTAAAATATGGAAATCTTTTACTTGTTTCCTTCACGCTTGATCATTCCATGGATAATACTGAGCTGCACAACTTTTGATACAGTGATAAACCTGGCCACCACGATTTCAACGTACTTAAAAAGCTTGTGCTTCCCGATGGATCAGTACTTAGAGCTAAATATCCAGGAAGGCCATCACGCGATTGCTTATTCACTGACCCGGTTATGGATGGGAAAAGGTAATAATCTTCCTCTAAATTCAGATTTATCTAGTTTGGCTTGCTTTTTCTTTTTTCCCCATAAACCCTTTTGGTGGATTTCAGTCTTCTTAAGATTTGGAACCTGAATAAATGTACTGGAGTTATCGGTATCTTCAACTGCCAAGGAGCAGGAAGTTGGCCCTGTATAGAACACACTGTTCAGCAAGATGTCCCTTCTGAGATAACTGGACATGTCTCCCCTGCTGACATTGAGTATTTCAAAGAGGTTTCCGGGAAGTTTTGGACGGGAGATTCTTCTGTCTTTTCGTTTAATACAGGTACCTCTTTTTCTTCCCACTATATTTGATGCAATGCAGCTTATGGAAAAATCTTTTACATGTTTCTAAGACAATTAAGTTAGTATTATGAGCAGATTTTTAAGGTTTGTAAACTGAGGGTTGTACTTCAATATTCTATGTAACTTACAGGTTCTCTATCTCGGTTGTCAATGGAAGAATCAATGAACATTACATTGGGAATGTTGCAATGTGATATCTATACTGTTTCTCCTATAAAGGTTGG